TAACAATCTACATAATTAATTTATCACTCTAAAAATCGTGTAAAAAATTTCTTATGACTTTTGAACTTGGTGAATAATATATAAAAAACATCGAAACATCAAAGGTAGTTGTTGTGTGCAAGATGTGTAGATCAACAAGTCGACACACTTCGGATATCGGTCGACCTTTCAGGTGCAATCACGGGGTTTCTCGTCTTTATATCACTCTCCACGACATTGCCACTTGATGTATGAAGATAACTTTAGCCTTAATCGGCCGACCTCTCCAACCATGGTGTGATTGCCCGGTTTATTTTTGAAAATCGACATTTTCATCATCAGGTTGATTGTAACATACAAGCGGTCAATATAATTTAAAATTATTGCGACTATTTATACTCGTGATCAAGTATATTACATAAACTTTTGGCGGAGTGATTGTAATCCCGAGTTCTAAATGTGGAGATCATATATACTTATCAACCTCAACAACTTTATCAATGAAGAAACAGAAAAGAAAGGATGGATGCTAGTCTACTACGAATGTAATTGGCGAGTCTTTCCAACATTCTAAATCATCATGTTTACTATATTTAAGACTGTTTATTTCATCAAGCAAACAATGTTAATTCAATGGATGAGAATGTACGCACAACGGTACAAGCATCATTGTGGTACTCAAGTCGAACCAAATGCAACCAACAGTGGGTTCAAAACGACGAAATGAATGCACAGTTTTATTAGGTTTGATTCTCACAATAAAATGTTGCACATTCATGTCGTCAATGGTACTATTGGTACATCATACACCAACTCCCACTTTGTACGCGATTCAAAAGGAGCTTATATACATATATGTTTTCAAAATCAAACAGATGCCGGAAATTCTGAAACCAACGGCGTTTCCTTTTGAAATTTCACCGTGTTATCGATCACAATTCACAACTACTTAACCCAATAATATAATACAATTGACTCACATTTTAAATTACGTGGGTTATACATTCACCATTGACTAATTATATGTATCTTCTAATTTTCAAACTAAAATAAGATTGTATAAGAAAGATAAACCCCACTTCTCTATTTGGTCCACTATAATCGGTTGATGCCCCAACATGCACAAAGCTAAATAATAATACCTCTTGAACCTTGACTGATAGACGATGGTCTAATTCTATTTTGGGTTAGTTTGAGTTCAACATGTTTGCATAATTTTTCTTTTATCGTTTCTCGTTCAATCTGAAATAATGTAGAGATAAAATCGTATATTGGACAAAAAATCATTTATGCATAACTGAGTAGACTAAATATAAAATTCGATGATATTTTTACATCGAAGTGATTGCTAAAAAAGGAATTCAGTTCTTGTGATAAAGAGGTGAACGCAAGATAGAATGAGCTAGCTAGCACTCTTCATGTGCATCATGTTGTGACACACATCGGTATCCTAGGAAAGAGAGCATGAGAAACGAATACCGTAACATTAGCGCGCATTGAAAGTCGGAAATAATTAACTCTTTTGTTAACCATGATATCTAAATCCGCTAAACAATCGAACTTCTCACAAATATTAACTACTTGTTACATTACTTGAATACATATATAGTTAACGCAAAATTTCCCGACTTTAAATTCTCTCCTCATACAAAATTTTCAACCGCGGTGTTATAATTTCTTAACCAAGTCAACGTCAACTAATTAACAAATTGTTGCTGATGACTTGATCATAGAAATAGGCTGGTACTCGGGTTTGGTTTGTTAGTTTCCCACTTTATCCATTCATTTAAGAAATAAAAAAGGTGTTGCTCCCAAATCGTAATCAATCCCGCCAACCCATTCACCATTTAAAAAGCTCTCAAAATTGGCCACGATGAAGAAGTCGATAATAAACACATAGTCTACCATCTAGCCATTGCATGTTCATATCATATCCAACTACAACAACCACATCATGATCCATATATTCAATTGTAACAACAACAACAACAATAACACATGATTAGATGAAGATATCAATGAAACTCGAATTTTAACTCGTCAATATTAATGGTTGTTTAACAATATATCTCAGATACTGAAAGATTATTCTATTCTGGACTCGTACACATCTTCAATTTGACATTATTTTATATAGCTGATCTATATTTCTTTTTTTTCTCTCTCTTACCAACGATATTTTCTTTTATACTATTTCCCCCCTGTGATTGTGTATATCTTCGATTTAAAAAAAACTCACCTCGATTTAGCTTAGGAATGGTGCAAGGAATGTGCACGGAGTATAATACATAGTCGTCATACCCGTAACCAGACACAATAGGTGTTTTAAATGAGACATAATAGGTGTTTATGAATGAGATCAAATAGCCGGGTTGATCCATGTATACGTACACATCTAACCAAATATTCGATTAGAGAACATAACAAGTCAGGTCGATACAAGCGAACAGGTTTCACATCGACCGCAGAATTTTATATATTTTCTATTGCATGTCCAATGTTAATAGAAACTTTTATTTTAACAAAATCACCATTCCAAAATCGCCGTCAACCTTAACTCGGCTAATCCTTAATCCAAACTATATGGTTGACAAATGAGAAGCAAAATATATGCATGTTGGTAACTGGCTGGACTTTCTACCAAATAACCCGACCCGATTGTTTTCTTCTGCGTTTGAACTTTGAAGACGTCAAAACTCAAAAACGGCGTTAAAATCCGATACCAATGGCCACGACCGTCGATCGGCAAAATTCGATTTTGGCATTTGAGAAAAGCCGTAATGCCGGAAAGAAAGAAAGAAAGAGTGGCCGGCCGGATTATTATAAGTACGACGTACCACCAAGCACAATTGCACAAATATGGATTCACACGTAAATCCTCTTTTTTCCTTCTTTTTCGATTCTTTTTTAGTTTACAGAAGCGAATTGGTTCACATTTCACACGGACGCTTTATTTAATTGTTTAGTTTTTTTTCAAGAGCCAAACAACTCCTTGGAAATTAAGCCAAGTTGGGCCAAAATAAGTTTGTCTCTCGATATTTCTACTTTCTGTTATTTTGTTTTTTGTTTTTGCACATATGTACGACATGGTCAACTCATAATCGCAAACCCTTGTTATTTTGTTGTCAACGACATGTCATATTGACAAGTACAAGATGTAATGATTTGTATGAAGCGGGATTTGGATTTTCAATATGTTTTGTATTCCGGTGGTTTGATTTAAGACTCGTAATCTGCTCCACTCATTTCGTATGACCGGCTAAATTTGTTGTTTATTTGGTTATTTGAATATTTCATATGTTCGGTTCTAAAAATTGTATTTTGTTGTTGAATTTTTGGAGAATTATCTGTATAGCTATGACTAATAATACACTTAACATTTACACTAATAATCAGTCACTTGTGGATACAATGTGACGTGATTACCGTTCAGTACATACTCATGAAAGTTGTTTTAACAAAATATGCGCATGTTCTTAGGATATATGCAATTAGTAAAAGGGTTATAGGTATAATATGCCCCTCTACTATGACGTTTTATCAAACATGCACCTCTGTTATTTTTTACATCAAACATGCCCCTGTACTTTGGAAAACTTATCAAACATGCTCTTTTGCTAAAATTTCCATCCAAAAACCGTTAACCAAGACCGAACTTTGGTTTGGGCGACCCAAATGTCTAAAATATCTCTAATAATTTCACTTTAGAGTTTTTTTTTGTTCTTTTGTAAAGCCAAATAATTATAATAATTTCACTTTGATGAGACCTAGAGAAATAAAGCAAGGGTCAAAACTGACATTTCCCCTCCCATTTATTGATGTCAGGTTGTCTAAATCTCGGTTCAACCATGATTGACGATTTTTTCAATAGAAATTTCAACTGAAGGGCATGTTTGATAGTTTTTCCAAATTACAGGGACATGTTTGATGTAAAAATTAGTAGAGAGGCATGTTTGATAAAACGTCATAGTAGATGGGCATATTATACATATAACTCTCAGTAAAAATTAGGATTCTAAATAAGTTCATATGAACAACATCATGGATGGAGCTCAACCTTTACAAGTACAACCTAATATAGCTAATCTACAATACACCTTGTGCGGTTCAATTTCTTTTTTTCTTCCTGGTTGATCCGTATCTCTTTGTTAGTTTGTTTGAGGAAATTTCAGATGTTAAACATATAGCAAACAATAAGTCAATAATGCAACGTATTTGTGTTCCTTTCATCTTCCATAGCCTGATTTGTTGGATGAAGGTTTCCAATCTAGGATAGAAACATAAAAATTATCAACAAGTTATCCATTTCTCCCTTTCAAAGTGTCATCGATGTGTTCTATTAAATTTTAATTAAGGTTAAGAAGTTACAATCGCCATTGAACCTCTCTTATATTCACCCATCCCGCTTCACAATATGATTCATGTAGAATGAACTTACAAATAAATTATATTTTAAAATCTTACATCAAGCATGCGATTTCAAATATATCGAATTATTAAGTTACTTAAACACAAGTAACCTAGATGTCTATATTCTTAAAATAAACCGCAAAACAAAATCCCAAAATTTGAGGGAAGACCAACAAGCTTAAGTAGACAATCTCCATGTTTTCTAGTGCATGGTCTCCCTTTTAAATCTTCTCTATTTCATTTCCAATATAATTTTTTTTGTATAATGTGTTTGGTCGTTGCTTCATATAATATGGTGCATTTCTTTAACCTGGTTTTCAACGACTTGTAATTCACACTTCCATTATATATATAACTGAGGTAAGGTTTTATTTTCCAACTTGAACTGACTAATAACAATAACTTAATAAGGGGTTTGATGTAGAGAACACATCAGATTGTGCTAACTAATTCGGATTAAGAAGACAAAATTAAGAGAAGACCGTGAAGCTCTCCAGACTCCAGTTCTTCACTTCCACTCTACCATCTGGGCCCGAAAGCCTGCCACTTTGTTGTCCTGCGACGTTGTTCTTCAGTTTGGGCCAAGCCCACGTAGGGAGTTGAAGCCCAACGCTAGTGATATTTGTCATTTTGTGTAGACATAGGATCAGAGTCGGAGAGTTGTTTAATGGCTGCCTAATCATCATATAAGGACAAAAGTCAAAAACTTCATCCTCAGATGAATCATGCTGACCGATCTTCGTATCCATTGTTTTACCTGGGAACCCGATTCCCGTTTATCCATTGTTCCTTCCGGATCGAACTATATCTCTGCTCGGAATCACAGCGGCCGGCGGCGGCGGCGGGCAACCAGTGTTTTCCCGACAGCTTCTCTTTCCGGTCTCGGCTACTGGATCCATTCCGACGGCGGAGACAGTCGACCGTAGTAGTAGCTTGAGCCGCCGTCAAATTTTCTCCCAGAAAGGTGCGAGATATCCGTCCCCCATTTCCCTCTCGACTCTTCTTATACCCTGATTATGAACTTGCAGTCACATTAAACCGAGGTTTATTGGGTTCTCATGATTTATCTTGGGTTTAATTGAACTAAAGGGTAGCTGTAAGAAATCACTAGAGACCTTAACTAAAGAAATGCCGCTTTTTCTACCAAAACGGGATATTAAACTAATGAAGAAAGCATGGCTCTGCAGTATTTTGCCAACTTGGAGGGATCCTAAATCAAGAAAGTCTTTTTCCTTTTTTTCCCTTTCAGCACCTACTCGATGTTCAACCATGGCTGCCAACGCATATCCGTGTGTGTTGGACTATGATAAGGGCCAAAGGAAACGCACAGAGTTAAACGGAAAATGGGGTTTTCAAGCCTGTTTCTGCTCTACATTTTGCTCTTACTATCACTGTGTTCTTGCTATTACGGTGATACCATCTCCATAAACAAACCCCTCAAAGATGGAAGCCTGGTAATTTCCAAAGGTGGTAAGTTTGCTCTTGGATTTTTCAGCCCTGTGGGAGATAATGGGAAGTCCGGTTCCAGTTCCAGGTATCTTGGAATATGGTACAACAAAGTGCCAAAGCAGACAGTCGTCTGGGTAGCAAATCGCGACGATCCAATCAAGGATTCATCTGGGGAAGTTTCTGTTGACAATTATGGGAATCTCATTCTGTTCAGCAGCCATTCCCCTGAGGTTCAACTCTGGTCCACAAATGCTTCAAAGGAAGCAATGCCAATGGGTTTCAATGCTTCTGCTGGTGCAGCAGCTCAGCTCTTTGATTCAGGGAATTTGGTGCTGTTTCGTGGCGGGAGAGGAATGGTTTGGCAAAGCTTTGATCATCCTACTGATACCATTCTACAAGGGATGAAGTTCGGGTTGAATAGGACGTCAGGCGCATTATCATCCTTAACATCATGGAGATCATCAGACGATCCTGGTACTGGAGATTACTCGTTGAAGCTCGATCCAAGAGGTTCTCCTCAGCTCTTTCTTATCAAGGGGACAACAAGAAGAGAACCTTACTGGAGAAGCGCACCATGGCCATGGAAGAAGTACCCTCATGTCTACAACTACACCTTTGAGAACAATGAAGCTGGGGTTATGTTCTCATACCATACTTATGACCCTTCAATTACGATCAGGATAGTGCTTGATGGGGTGGGAATTCTGAAACCAATGGCATGGCACGAGAGAGATGGAAATGGAGATTGGAGGGAGTTCTGGTCTGCTCCGAAGCTCAGGTGTGACTTGTATGCTCATTGTGGTGAGTATGGTAGCTGTGATCCTTTGAGGGTTAACACATTTGAGTGCTCTTGTTTGCCTGGGTATGAACCGAAGAACCCGATGGAGTGGTCTCTGAGAGATGGATCTGATGGGTGTGTGAGCAAACGGGTGAATAGTTCCTCAACGTGCGGGGAGGGTGATGGGTTTTTGAGACTAGAACATGTCAAGCTCCCTGATTCTTCTCATGCTATTTGGGTGGATGTGTTGTTGAGTTCGAGCATTGATTTGGAATGTGGGAAGATATGTTTGAGTAACTGTTCATGTTCCGCATACGCGATCGTTAATGCGAATGAAGAGAAGAGGTTGTGTCTGCAATGGCATGGCGTGTTGGTGGACACCACAAACCGTGGAACAACTGATGGATATGATCTCTATGTTCGAGTGGATGCGGTTGAATTGGGTAGGTATTACATTCATTTTTGCTTACTATCGTTGTTTCAGTTTGATTTTCTACGCCTTCCAACTCTCGTCATTATGCAATTTTAGCTGGACGGTCCACAGACCTCGATGGCTTACCTAAGAGGAGGTCTATGGTGGCCGTCATGGGAGCTTCAGTTACTGCAGCATGGTTTGTCATTGTTTCATTTTACTTGGTGCTGAGGAGGAAGAGACAAGGTGAATTGACAGTGAACCTTGTTTTATCGAATCAAACGACTTGATTGTTTATTTTCATGAACTCAATGTTGATTGTGTTTGATGTCTGGACATACAGTGAAGGATAAAGCGAATAGCAGAAGGTCTGACCAGTCAACTGATGGTTCACTTGTGTACCGAGAGAGAATGGGGAATGAGCTTCCCATCGGTAGTGGAATGAGGACTTACCATCAGGACCTTAGATTTTTCAGTCTGAGCAGCATATCAGCAGCAACTGATGACTTTTCTCCGGCTCACAAACTTGGTCATGGTGGTTTTGGCGTAGTTTATAAGGTATTTAGTTAGTCATCTCTATTTCGGTTATTGGTTTGGTTATGAATTGAAATAGCAAATGACACAAGATCTGATCATATGCTACCTTGCAGGGTCAGTTACCTGATGGCCAGGAGATTGCAGTAAAAGTTTTAAGTAAGAATTCAGGGCAAGGTACAGAAGAATTCGAGAATGAAGCCGAGTTGATTGCAAAGCTTCAACACAGGAACCTTGTAAAACTGTTGGGATGCTGCATTGAGCATCACCAACAAATGCTGGTGTATGAATACTTGGCAAATAGAAGCTTGGATTCAGTTCTTTTTGGTGAGGGAGTCTCTCTCATCTGCTCATACATCTCCAACCATATCTCTGGCTAAGGAATTGACACATGTAATGAGTTGTTTGTTTTTCTTAAAACAGACGAAACCAGGAAGGTGTCCTTGAATTGGAACAAGCGATACAACATTATGGTTGGCATCGCCCGGGGCATCTTGTATCTTCACCAAGATTCGAGGTTGCGAGTGATCCATAGGGACCTGAAAACCAGCAACATTCTTTTGGATGCTGACATGAATCCAAAAATTTCAGATTTTGGGACCGCAAGAATGTTCAAAGGCGATCTACTTGGAGATCGGACACATAGAATCGTTGGAACGTAGTAAGTTACATTTCATGATCCACATGTACTCATTTTATCAACTTTCTGTCATCTGCATTTTCACTTCTTGAATCTGTTATTTATTTTGCAGTGGATACATGTCACCTGAGTATGCAGTGCTAGGACATTTTTCGACAAAATCCGATGTGTTTAGCTTTGGGGTCGTGCTGCTGGAGATCATAAGTGGGATCAGGATCAATGCGTTCTGTGAGGAGGATCAACCCCAGAACTTGATAGGACATGTAAGTAGAACCCTTTCAAAGATTCTCTGCGCTACAGGCTCTATTACATGAATGAACTTCGGAATCACTGACGAAATTGATCATTGAGCTTTGATTTTATCATATTTAGAGATAACTAAATTAACCAATCGCTCCATTCACGACAATTAAATAGCTTATTGAAAATCTAAACAGGTTTGGGAACTATGGAAAGTAGACACGGAAAGAGTGATGCAGGTAGTCGATCCATCGTTGGAGGATGAGAAGGAGAAGCGTTTCGAAGACATCTTGAGATGCATCCAAACTGCGCTCCTTTGTGTCCAAGAGAAAGCAGATGATAGACCAGACATGTTGGCAGTACTTCTGATGTTGAACGGCGAAAGAACACTGCCTTCCCCCAAGCAACCTGCTTTCATTTTTAGAGAACATCCATTGATGTCGAAACAAGAAGAGGAAGAGCAATGTTCCATCAATCAGGTCACCATTACAATGTGTCTCTCTCGCTAGTTACTGCATCGTTTGCTGATCTCTACATCACCAGTTTTTTTTTTAGTCAATGAATGTCCGGTGATGAATGGCTTCCATTGTTCATGGAGTCTAATGTACAAGGTGGTTCTTTACTGGTAGTTTTAGCATTTTTTAGGTTTATGACTTCCACAATTCATGGTTCTAACGTAAAAAGATGATGCATCTTTAAGTAGGTTTAGGACTTATTATACTCTTTTGGTGTCAAGTTAATGGCGATTGGTGAAGGCGACAATTCATGTGACTGGTCACTAATTGTGAGCTTGGTAATAAAATGGTCACTAAACTAGATATCTCAAAACAAAAACTAACTAAGCTAATTGATAGTTAACAAAATAACCACTTTCTTCTCCAGACACTAATGGTTAGCACCTCACCTACCGTGCGGTCCAACTCTAAGATCGACTGGAAAGAGTTGCGCCAATTGAGCATTCTGTGATTGGACAATTTAGATAGTATGACAATTAAACGACAATTGATTACGATCATTGATTTCAATTGACGAAAAAACATAATTTCTGACGGTTTAAGAATAGGACGATGAAGAAATAATGTACCACTAATCTGTACTTAAATCGATACTACCTCCTATATACATACACTACACTACACTTGAAGTTGCAACATGTAAGTTCTCATCGCCCTTCAACGATGATAGATTCAGTCAAGTCATTGATGGACCATTTCTCCGCACTGGAAGAGGATTGAGCATTGAAGATCGCAGGATTCGCTGTCTTGTTCTGGAACGTGTAAGTTGGTTTAGTCGGCCGCGGAAGACTCGTTTCCCCACTAAGCATGGAGAGCACACTCGCCATTGTTGGCCTGTCAGATGCATGATCTTGCACGCAGAGCAGTCCCACGTTCACGCATCTGCTCACTTCTGAGGGCTTACTCGACTCTGCCACTGTCTCGTCGGCCATGTCCACTCCCCTGCTTTCGTCCCATGATCGCCATGCCTACAGAAGATCATTGTTAAGCTGGGTAAGCAACAATTTGGTGTTCATAAGAAAGAAGGCTCAACTTACATAAGAAAGAAGGCTGGGATGGTGTTCTTCGTAATGGAAGCTGGTAGTTTTCCTGCCACTGACGATTTCCAACACGAGAACTCCAAAGCTGAACACGTCAGATTTCTCCGAGAACATCCCAGCCAGTAAGTACTCCGGTGACATGTACCCCCTACAAATTTGAGATCAACCGCCATGAAAAAAATCAGCAAATAAGATACAGAATCAGTTGGGAGTGGTAAAAGAAAAGAAGTGTTCCATGGCAGAGTCTACTTACAATGTTCCCACCACCTTATGGGTACTAGCCAAATCCTGTGTCCCTTCGAAAATCCTCGCCAGCCCAAAATCAGATATCTTTGGGTTCATCTTCTCGTCGAGGAGAATGTTGCTGACCTTCAAATCTCTGTGTATGATTCTCAAACATGAGTCGCGGTGGAGATACAGAAGCCCTCGAGCAACCCCGTGTATGATGTTGAAACGTGTTGGCCAGTCCAGCTCTGCCTTCTTCGTCGAATCTAAGCCAACAATGCAAATCAACCAACAGTAACAAGAACATAACATAAGAGAAGGAAGAAACTTTGAGATGCAAAAGCAAAAAGAAGAATGAAAGGGAGAGTTGGGCAAGAAACCAACCAAAGAGGTAATTGTCCAAGCTTTTCTTGGGCATATACTCATAGACCAAGATCTTTTCCAGTTTGTCAATGCAGCACCCCAGCAGCCTGACGAGATTCCTGTGTTGCAGTTTGGATATCAACATGATCTCATTCTTGAATTCATTCGCGCCCTGTCCCGAGCTGCTCGAGAGCCTTTTGATCGCCACAACTTTCCCATCCGGTAGCTTGCCCTGTGCATTGGACAAGCCTTTCAGCCATCAAAGTATCTGATATAATGTCGAGACCAATTTATCGAAATAACTCGACTTGTTAGAAGTAGTCGTAAAATGCATCGTATACCTTATAAACAGGACCAAAACCTCCTCGGCCAAGCAAGTTGTCTGTGTTGAAACTGTCTGTCGCTATCTCAATGCTCTCCAAATCAAACATGGGAAGCTCCAATGACTCGTCCGGCTCCTCTGAATAGCCCTTTGGCACATATGTAACCCGTTTCGAAGGTACACTCGAGTTGTCAGTTCCACCTACAAGGACCACAATGCAGTACTATCACTCCCAATAAGAGCTTCAGGAAGGATCAAAACAGGTCAAGCACAACACTTTGTGACAGAATCTCGTAATCAGACCTAATTAATTACCTACCCTTTGTTGTATTAACCCTTCTTTTCCTCCACATAACCGAACCCAAAACCAATACCAAAGCAGCAATAACAAGGGTTCCCAGAATAGTAGGTAGTATAACAATCAGCCTTGCAGACTGCTGCTTCTCATCATCTGAGAAAGAAAAAGGAAGTAAAGCAAAAATCTTTAGCAGATGCAATCCCAATATCATTCAACCAATGACTGTCCGGTTAATCGGTTTAACCAGTAAGTGACACTCACCTAATTCAGTACTTGCTAGGCGAAGATAAAAATCCTGCCCAGCAAACGGCAGCACCTGCAAATCCACAACCTTCCCTTTCCACATCAAACACCCGATCCCATTCACAAACGAATACGCGGTGCATGAACAGTTGTTCAAGCACTGCCTCGAGCATTCGCCATCGTCCCAAACCCTCATGAACTCTGAAGAATCAGGGACATTCACTCCACTCAACTTCAGAAACCCATCTCCTCCATTACTACTCACATTACTCTTCCCACATAACAACTCGGTCCTTCTTATGCACCCTCCAGACCAGTTCCCTTGCCTCCATTCCTCCTCCGATTTCGGCACAAACCCTTTCAAGCAGTTGCAAACCAAAGGATCATTCCTCTCACAGACACCAAACTCCCCACATGAACCATAATTCTCACACTGGGATTTAGGAGTCCTCCACCTAGCATACCAACCTCTAGTTCCATCCCAACACCTCAATTCCAGAGACCCTGACGACGACAGTACAAATGTAGTATACGTGCAGTTTCTAGGTGGACTCAAGGAGAGATAAACCAAACCCTGGTCAAGATCATCAAGTAGCGTGAGTGAGCTCTGGTAATCGGTGTCCATGTCTGGGATATTGGTAAACCTTGCTTTGTCCCAGGGGCCAGATCTCCAATACGTCGTTTGGTTCCTCCATATGGTAGCCTGCGGCGGCGTTTGGAGGAGGAAACTGGCCGTGAATTCGCCCGGGGAAGGATCGGCGGCGGATTTCCATGCGTTGAGGCGGAACGGTTCAGCCGTCGGGTTGCTGGCGTTGAACATTAGCCATTTCCCGGCGATGAGCGTGTCGCCGGAGTGATCGCCGCTCTGCCACAAATTCTGCCCCGTCGAGCCATCCCTCAAAACCAAGTTACCATCATCTTGAAGCGAAGCGATCGCTGCAGAAGGAGAAGAAGCAGAGACGTTGGTTGGGGAAGAGCGGGGAAGAAGAAGAAGTCAAGTTAGTGAGGGAATCGGATACATGGGCGAAGAGAAACAGAGCAAAGAAGAAGAACCCAAATCGACCCATTCGAATCGGAGAGAACCCTTCTGAGAAAGATTGAAGCTTGATGGACCATCAATGGCGATTTGTTGGGTAGTTGTAAAGTGAGTCAATGGATAAAAAGTATAAAATTGGATAGGGGAACTTGCTTGTCCATTTCTAGATCGAACGAAGGTCATCAATTGAAAAGGAAAGGATGATTGGGAAACAGATTTTGTGGGGTTGACTTGGGGGTCATCTTCCTCCTCGTCGTCCACCATTTAATACAGTCAGGCCAAGCTGTCACGTTTTACGGGATTGGCTGGAACCTTGTTTTCTGATAAGCTTTGACCATCCACCCAATTGCAGATCACGGGAGCACGACGGCGCGGTCGCCATTGTTGGGTGAAGTGAGTCTTGGAGAGCTGCGCGTAGCGATGGTTTAGTAGGTAGACGACGCAGGGTTTTCAACGCCAGTAGTTTGTTGTTTTCTTGGGCTTTGGATTTTCTGTTGAACCTTTTTCCCTCCTTGTCTTTGTTTTAGGTAACAACTTGGCGGGAAGGCAAGGGGTTAGTGTATTTAATTAGATTAGACCTATGGTAATTAGTTTAATCTTAGCTCAATACTAATCAGCTGAGCGTGATGGAAATCTACCCTTGGTAATACGAACTGTCAATTTTATCGGATGCTTTGAAGAGTAACTGTCAATTCACGTACTGTTGGGTTGTTTTGCGACATTATCGAAATGAAATTATCATCTTTATATTTTCGAATAAAATGAGCGTGGATGAACTTGTTCTAATTAGCGTGCGTGCAAAATAATTTGTTGCGACACACAATTTATCGTAAAATTGGATGAGGATGTTACGATACGGATCTTACTTATTAATTATTATTCATTAAAGTAGTGTATCTTTGATCTAACTTGAGGGATGATAACGACTTTGAGAAGATTGGTTTGTGTAATTTTTTTATTACTTTTCATCTTCTTATGTATTTAACAAAGTATCCACCGTCAAATGTGATGATTAATGACCAATCTCTTGTCACATGGTTTTAATTATAGATACTGACTTCATGTGGATTGTTACACGACACCAAACAATCAAACGCGACAATTGACAAACAATCGAACTATCGATGAAAATGCTTTTTTTTAGTGTTAACCCAGTAAATGAGAAGCCATGTTGTACTTATTGAAGTAAAAGTACAAGAAAAAATAGAACATTTTATAAAAAAATCGAAGGATTCTTGAGAAAAATCGAAATGAGTTAATTTCTCACTTTCTTTTATAAACTTTTTAAGAATAATAAATCTAACACTTTATAGCTAGTGTTGAAACTTCGGGCACGTCAAGTATACACTTTTTGTTTGGGTGTATTTGGTCTAAAATTAAACTTTAATTGTTAAATTTTGAATTTTAATTGTTGGTATTTGTTTAGTATGATGGTATGGACAAGAATATAGTTAATTCATGCATGTTTACTCATAATTTTGTTCTTAATGATCATTAAATAAAAATTTTATGTTGTAGAGAGCAAGTATAAAAATATCTAACATACAAGCAAATCACAAATAAAATTTCACGTATGTATTTATGTTAATTATTAAACACTTGAAACAAGTAAAATGAATAAGATTACTATTATAAGATTTGAGTGTACAGTATACACCTAAGTTCAACGATGCACCATATACGCAACCTAAATTTTTTGTGGTAAGAAATCATTTTACTATGAATTATTATTATGATCCCTAATCATTTATTTACAATTGGG